TTAAACTTGTAAGTTATTTATCTAATAGATTCGATAACTACCATAGTTACTTATATCGTAGTTTATTGTTACATATTGCAATTACCGAATAATTGGATGTTCAGCCGTAAGACTAAATTCATAAGAGTCAGTGCCAGTATCTTCGTGCTCAACAGGAGTTTCCGCTAATATTTTAAAATATTGAGGATGACTGGCCCTCAATTGCTCAGCAGCTTTAAATCCGTCCGTAAATTGGCTCTCGCCTCCTTGCTTAGCTGCTGTTACACAATGCAGCATGAATATCTAATTCATACAATCAATAAAAAGCTAGTTAATGCCAGTGAGATATAAGTAAATTAATCAATTATCTTCAGATAATCTATAACTAAGTTAGGTGTCGATTCAGAAGTTACAAAGCTGATTTTAACTCTTTTCATTAATTATGAGTACAGTCACGTAGTAATTCAATTCTAAAATAGTAACCACATGATTTTATCTTGAAAGTATAAATAAAATATTAGTCTTTATGACATCGCCTTATACATAGAATTCGATATTCGATCAAAGCTACAAGGGCACAAAGTAATACGCTGTATGCGGATATGAATACATTTTTTTCTAGCATAGGCAACGAAATATTCTCGTTAATGTAAGTTAATTAACATTACCGTAACGTGGACAATAGCTGAAATATTAACTTTAAAGTAGCAGTTTTTAAAGTTGTATTTTAACTACTATGGATAGCAAATATGTCTTACTCATAGAGCGTTGTAGCTACTAATACGCTAAATCTCTATCGTCTGTAAAACTAGCGAGAAATACGATATCGCTTAAGCTACGTTACTATATGTAAATACTATAAAATAATTCTCAAGAATATTTGATTTATTAAGTACAATTACATCTAGATTTTCGCATACTCTCTGTTTTTAGCGCTTTTTTAAATCATGCTAAAATCTGTCTCTAGCAGATATACTATAGTTATAAATTAAAAAATAGCTCTATCTTGGAAGCATATACTGTATAGTAAGAAAATCCAGCTATGAATTTTCTTCTAATGTATGACTTTGTACAGATATACGTATGTTTCCGTTCATTTGAACGAGTAATCTACTAGTATCGATATGGAATGTAAAGAAATTGCCATCGTATCT